CAGGCTGCCATCGCTTCTGCAGGCCAAGTCGGGTGGGCGAGGCCAGGATTAGTCGGGCCGTGCTGCGAGAGGCACGGCAGGTGTGTTCCACCGAGCAGCCACCAAGAGCTGCGTGGTCGCCAGGGAGGGCGACACTACGGGAGGAGAAAGCAGCAGTAGGCCGGACGTGGATGGCGCCCTGGTGCGGGCTGTTGAGGTCCCTGCTGAAGGTGTGTTTGGTGCATTCCAGTACACCAACTCTCTCCGTCTGTTGTAGAAGTTGTGGCAGAGCTGTTGCACAGCAGAGTTGCTACCGCTGGGGGCACTAGCGAAAGTGTCCCAGCGACCGACTTATCCACTCAGGAGGGGTCGGACGAAGTTAGGCGGCGCCAATAGGATGCTGTCGACGGTGGGGATGCTGTGTAGTGCATGACCACCAGGAGTCCCAACGGGGGCTCCATAGAGCGGGAGCACGGAGGCTGCCGCTCGCCCGCAGGTGCGGGTCGTGGGAGCAGAGGAGAGTATCCGCTACTCCCGAGCCGGTTGCTATATCGGTTTGTCCCCATTAAAAGGGCGTGTAGGAGGGGGCACACGGAGGCGGTGGAGTTCTGCCGCCTGCACCCCAGCAGCATGGAAGGAAAAAAGACCGGGAGATGACCTGGAGGTATACAACACCAATGTCTGCTGAGGCGGGTCTGGAGACAAGGCTGGAGCGGGAATGCCCGCGGGTTGTACCCGCAAGGTATGTGGCCCGCGAACACGGGTGAAGAACACTCGTGTACACTTGAGAGTAGTGTGTGCTCTCTTGTGTTCATCCCCATTAAGGAGCGTGTAGGAGGGGGCACGCGAACCCAACCCGTCGTGTGTGCGGGGAAGGGTACCAGAAAAATCTTGCTGGCCCCGATGGATATGCGGGGAGGGAAGTGCTTCCTGGCCCCGATGGATAGGCGGGGTATCACGGGAGTTGTGTGAGAAGTGCTGGAGTATTTGGCCACACCCAGCAGCACGGCAGTGGCCGTGACTGCCTTCTACCAAGAGCGGGAAGGGGGCAGCGAACATCAAGGCGCGTGGGGTACCGCGTGCACTCTACATCATCAGCTGGCGGGACCCGGAAATACGTAGCTGTGGGATGGTGGAGTTCAAAGACACAAGAAAGCCGTCGTGTGCCTGTCTGCTACACCGCTACACCGAGGAACGTCGGGACGCCG